CGAGACCAGCTCCATGATGAAGCTCCAGCACTTTCCCCGGTGTTCAGATCAGACCCGCCGGGATGAAGTGTGTCTCAAAGCGGCGGAGACGAGCGGGCAGACTGCGTGTGTGTGCTTGAAGGGCCTGCAGTCTATGGCGGACACACAGCTGCAGGAATCTCGGACACTTTCCAGGATCCTTCAGCCTAACAGGAAGTCACAGAAACACTCACATCCGGTTACAGCTGATTCCAGTACTGAGCACAATTCAGCCAGTACAGCAGGCAGCCTCTACCTGTCCGAAGGTTCAAGACATAAATCAAACGAGCTGATGGGGAAAAATATAATAACTTTATTTATTTATGATAGCGGGTTATGACTACTTCATATATATACACTTTTATATATATATACATATTAAAAACGAGGAAAAAAACTGTCAAAGTTTTCGAGATTAAATTTGGAAGGATAAAGCCAGAGACTGGGCTCGCCTTACCTTTTCATAATTGTATAGTGGTGTTTATGGCGAGCGAATCAACGAATGAATGAATAAATGAATCAATAAGGGGCTGGGGCAGGAGGTGGGCGTAAAATTCCGAAGAAAACCTCGAAATTTTCCATAAAGTGAAAAGTGACGCTACTTCACTTTATGTTGCGTTTGAATGAAATCGGTCCCACACATGTAATAGCATGCATGCAGTCATAACTGTGCTCTCATGCAGTGTCGCCAGCACGCAGGGACCTCCATGGCACTGAAGATGATAACAGCATGATTAGAGATTTCTTATTTACTTCAGTCTGTGTGAATTTCTCCCCACCTTAACCCTGAAAACTGAACGAATGGTAACTGGACACAGAGATTTATTTGTTTGTTGTTAATTGTGAGTTGTTTTTCCTTCTTCCGTGAATATTTTAATAGAAAGTTTGTGTTTCTTCTCATTTCACCTCAGTGTACTAGCCTGTACTTGAAGGTAAAGGGGTGAACTGTTTATAATAAATCCAGTCGTCCACTAGATGGAGACAAATACACATAGATGAATGCGGACTCTGGTTTAGTGAGTGCACAGGGTGGGCCATTTATATGGATACAGCGTAATAACATGGGAATGGTTGGTGATATTAAAGTCCTGTTTGT